CTGAGATTAAGTTCACACTGATTAGAATTTTAAAATTATTTTACTCTTCACAATGCTTTGCACAGAATAGGTGCTAAATAAAAACTATGTGGTTGTTCAATAGATATCACCAAATTCTTAACTCCTCCCAAGCTGATGGTTTTGAAACCAAATGTGCTGGTATAGAGTTAGTATACTTTTGCAGAGGAAGAAAATAGCCAAAACAAATATAGTGCTGTTACCATAAAAGGAAAATCAATATTTTAGACCTTAAATAAAAGGAAGTGTTTGACATGTGTGGACTTTTTTTAACAAGGACACAGGGACCCAGACAGGGTTGGCTGAATATTTGTGTTGCTCTCAGTCTATAGACACAGCTGAAGCCCAGTGAAAGTATTTTGAATATACAAGATATTTTCAAAGATGTTTTGAGTGCACAAGAGACAAGATGAAGAAGACAAGTTTGTTTTTAATGAAAAAAGCAAAAAATAGATACAATTCAACTATAAAGGGAGAATTCAAAATTTAGATGTGGCTTAATAAAGTGGAACCAGATAAATCTTAACAAAGGTCTTGGAAAATCCAGGGCCTCAGTCTAGAAAGAAAGAATAACTGCTTACTGAAGCAGAACTGAGTAAGTGAAGACATATGGAATAAATTTCCAAGCAAAGCCCCCAAATCCGGTAATATAAATGAGTTCAAGAAATAACAGTACACTTTAACAAAGAAAGTTGAGATCAAAAGACGTAGCAATAAAGTTAATAAAAAAAAAACTGAGATAACTAGATAAGAGCAGATTTTGGGTCAAATTGTCCATTTGTGCCTAGGTATTTCTTTATTTTTATTATAGCATACTGTAGTTTGAAGGTGCCTTCAGATATATAAATGAGACCCTTGGGCTTTGCAAGCAAACTTTTTGTGCTACCTGAAGCTCCTGATTGTGATTAGGAATGTTTCCTTCATCTGGCCCCCACACTCTTGTCATACTTAGAAAATGGTTCCTGCAAGTAAGTGGTAAAATAGAGCAATTATCATGTTCATCCATGTCTCCTGGTACCTTATGCAGGAAGGCAGATGGCTAGGCAAAACTATTACCCAGAAGTATAGACCAAGAAGTATAAACGTCTCTTAAGATGATGGCCATGGTGACAGTAGGGTCAAGTGAATAGTTAAACAAAAAAACAAAGTGGCAATTTTATAGATCACCATCTACCCTCAAAACCGTTGCATTCATAATATTCTGCCCAACGACATATTTGTCACATAAACAAAAGGCTGTTGTTCCCAATGTTTGCCCTCAAGTTGTTAGTTAGCTGCTGACCTCATAATCTGCACAGCTGTGGCATCCCAATATGTTGTCATGAAACAGATTGTGATGTCTTAATTGATCACTTTTAGAGGTTACAATTGTCAAGTGAGACCAGTATGCTGATTCTTATTAGTTAAATTAAGCCTTGTTACAGCAAAACTGGCTAATTCATTATAATGAATAGGAAATTCAGTGTAACTTACTGCATTTTATAGATTCGAACATATCCAAGGCTTTTTCTTTTTCTTCTTTTTGATTGTTTAAATTCGTGGAGGCTGTACCCCAACCATGCTTTTATTATACAATGAAGCAACTTAGAATAGTAAATGGAATGTAACCCCCCGCACCATATGCATCTTGGTGATAAGTTGGAGTATGCCATATGACACACACAATTTAAATCAGGCATTGATGTGCATGACTCTAAGTGAATTGGAGGACTCAGCTAAGAGTAATGGATGTCAGGCTCTGCTGCAAATCGTCTGGCAAGAAGAATATTATGTTCTTCTCTATTGTGTAAAAGAATGTAGGCTCCTAAGAGGATGAGGAAGGGTCTTAAATCAATGCCTGACCCCAAAGCACACCTCCTTGTGCCTCCATTTTGGTCATTGGTGAAGTCTTCGCTATGGCACTAATCTATAAAACTCTCTTTTCCAAGTGTCCCAATACACTCACTCACTTTGTATGGACTTATTCTCATCTGATGCCTGGACCACCTGCTACTCATATTAGTTGAGAAACCTTACTGTGACAGGGGTGATAAATAGTCCTTTTAATAGCAGAGTTTTAAGACAACTCATAAATGGGCCTTTGTGCATTCTGCAAGTCAAGTTTTTTTCAAAAGTTTTATCTTTGACATTTCAAATAAACAGACGCCTTTGTCAGTCTAGCACATTTTATAGGAGTACAAATAAAAATGAAATAAAAGAAACTAATTTAAGTTAATGTAATAACTGTTAGCATCCAAAATGCAGGAGGAAGCACAAGGATGTTTATCAAAGCACTTTTTTATAGTAGAAAAAAACAGATAATAGCTAAATGCCCAGCAGTAGACAAATTGGTACATATGGTATATCCATATAATGGAATCTTGAGCAGGCATTAAAACTATCTCTAAGGGCTGACATGGGAAAGGTTGATGATTTTCGATTAATGGTTTCTCATTAAGTAAGAAACCAAAGTGGCCAAATTATATAAAGGGCATTTCTCAACCTGTCTAAAATAATATCTGTAGAAAGGAAAAAAATGACAAAAATAGGTGTAGTGTTATTGAATGATGAGAATATGGAGAGTTTTTTTTTTTATCATTTTATCCTTTTTATTTTTAGTGTTTTGAGTTTCCCATATTACTTTACTAATTAGGGGGAAAAAGTTCTTGAAGCAGTTTGAGTAGCTTGTTATAACATTTGACTTAAGAGTCTGTGTTCAGGCACCTCAAATCTAAATGGTCTGAAAATGAGCTCCTGATCTTTCTCCCAGATCCTGCTCTCCTAAAGGCTTCTTTCCTTCTCAGTTGAAGGAAATTTCAGCCTTCCAGTTGCTTAGGCTGAAAACCTGGAGCTAACTGTCCGTGACTCCTGTCTTTCTCTTACATCCCACCTTCAATCTATGGTCAATTCAATAGGCTGTATCTTCAGAATATTTCCAGAACATAAGCAGCTTCTCTCCATCTCCTTTGCTACTCAGTGTGGCCCACATCACTATCCTCTCTTGCTGGGATTGTAGCAGCAGCCTAATCCCCCGCTTCCACCCTGGCCTCCTTTTTATCAACTTTCCACACAGCTGCCAAAGCTGTTACAACTCAGTTCAGTCATTCCTCTGTCCAGAGCCCTTCAATGGCGCTTCATCTCACACAAAGTGAAAGGCCCTAAGTGATTTCTAACCTGCTATCTGTCTGGCCTCAGTACCTACTTGGCTCTCCCCACTGGCTCTGCCAGGCTACATTGCTCTTCCTAGTATTCCTTTCCTACCTCAGGGTATTTGCATTGGTTTTTGCATTTTCTCTGCAGGAATGCTTTTTTCCTAAATATGCTCATGACCAACTCTTTCACTTCATTCAAGTCTTTCCTCAAATATTATTTTCTCAGCAAGGTCTTTTTCTGATTACTCCACCAACTCTCTCTCTCTCTCTCTCTCTTTCTGTCACACACACACACACACACACACACACACACTTGCACACACATACCTCCTAACGTCCTTTCCTGCTTTAATTTTCTCTATTTAGTACTTAGCCAAATTTAACATATTACATGGTATGATATTTATTTATTGCCTTTCTCCTGTGCCCAACTTGAATATAAGCTCTATGAGAACAGGAATTTTTGTTTATAGTTTTCACTGCTGAACTCTAACCCCTGGAACTGTACCTGAAACATCGTAGGTGCTCTGTGACTGCTGTGAGTGCCTACCATGGATAGGAACAATGATGTTACAGCTGTATGATGACTAACTGGTTGATTTTTATGCAGTAGCTTATCTCTCAATGTAATTATTTTAATTCAATTGCTTTCACTTCCTAACTTAACCAATTGAGCCTTTAATGTATTTCAGGGACTAATGGGGGAATGAGGTTAAAATGAAGAAGATAGACATTGTTCTGACATAGTTTACTGTCTAGTTGACAGACATAATCCAACACAATACATAAAACAAGGACAGTACCCAGCTGAGAGAGGCTACTCACCAACAGGCACAATAAAATTTCAAGATCGAATGTCAGATACAAAATGTGGAATCTCATAGAAGGGAGATGAGAAAGATGTATATCAACAAAGCACATTGCTTCTTTATTACTGTTTTAAAAGAAAGGGTGACTATGTGGGAAAGAAGCAGCAAAAGCAATTTATTTGGTTGTTTTAGGACAACTGAAAGCAAGCAATAATGGAAAGGGCAGTGGGCTTAGAGTTAGAGGATCTAGATTTGAATCTAACACTGCAGTTTTATCATCTCCAAGTCCTGAAAGCTGATGCTTAACTTCTACGAGTCTCTGTTATCTCCGTGGTTAAATAAAAAGAGAGAAAGGGACTTAGACTAGCTCTAGAGACTGCCTTTGTATATACCTTCTCATCTAAAAGGAAGCCTTTCCTTATCCATCTAGGATAAACATAAACACACAAGTCAATTAACATGATGACTTGAGGGAATCTCTAAAGGGTCTCTGTAATATTTCTGCTAGCCTGGGACTTATCTTAAGTAGTTACTGGTTCCAAAAATCTCTTTTGTAACCTCATTGCTTGCTGAACTCTTCATATTTTTATTAATTGCTCATAACCATTCATGCATACAAGCAAAATACATAATTGATCCCTGGATATGTTTCTTTTGCATTTCTTTTATAGCCACCAACCTTATTACAAAGATCAAATCTTTTCATATTTTCTTATTTCACCTGAAATTGCAGTTCTGAATAAAAATATTTATCATTTAGAGTGGAAAACAAATAACTATTTTTGCCTATAATTTTAAATCAGCCCATGGGGATTATAGGAATTAAAATTATTTTTTGACAGTATACGTTTTCTTTTTGAATGGAAGCATGCTGTTAACTTGATAATCTGTGGCAGAGGCTGTAGGTTTGGTATTTGTAGGCACTTTAGAGATACATCCATATTTGGTAATTATACAATATCTGAACTTTTGTTTTCCCAGAGGAACTTGTTTCACTAAGTGGAATTTATTAATTTACATACCTTCTTTCTCTATTTTTCAGCCTTTGCAACTGGACTGTGACCTTTGTGCCATAGTGTCAAACTCAGGTCAGATGGTTGGCCAGAAGGTAGGAAATGAGATAGATCGATCCTCCTGCATTTGGAGAATGAACAATGCCCCCACCAAGGGATATGAAGAAGACGTTGGCCACATGACCATGATTCGAGTTGTGTCCCATACCAGCGTTCCCCTTTTGCTAAAAAACCCTGATTATTTTTTCAAGGAAGCGAATGCTACTATTTATGTTATTTGGGGCCCTTTCCGCAATATGAGGAAAGATGGCAATGGCATCGTTTACAACATGTTGAAAAAGACAGTTGATATCTATCCGAATGCTCAAATATATGTGACCACAGAGAAGCGCATGAGTTACTGTGATGGAGTTTTTAAGAAGGAAACTGGAAAAGACAGGTGAGTCTTCTCTGAAGCAGCTTTTTTGTCTTTTATTATCTTTTATGCTATATCTTTGCTGATTCCTTTTGCAAGATGTAAAATAAACAGTTATTTTTTAAGCCGATTGTTATATGTTCTGACTATTATGATTACTTGATAAGCCAGCCTGAGGTCTCATGTGTTCCACCTATGCTACCTCCTGTTCTTTCCATTCTGATTGGTTTGAGTCTCCAAGAAATATTGGATACTTCCCCGAGGTATCTTTTGATGTTTTCTTATTTTGTTCCATTTCCTATTGATTAAGTTGGATTTCAGCTGAAAGAGGAAGCCTAAACATTTCTGTTTCAAAACCTAGTAATGGTAAGGAACTTTAGGATTATGCATTAGTCTAAACTCCTCTGGGAATTTTGCCAAAATTTTACCTGAGACCACAAACAGAACAGGCTATTGATTCTCCAATAAGATCGTGTAGCTTTTTGCATGCAAACAGGCACTGTGATCCTGAACATCATAACTTGGTGTCTGACTTGTTTAGCAGAATACCATATTGAAATTATATGTCACTTAAAATCATTAGCAGTGGACTTCTTTGAAATAAATGAGTTATAAATACCATTCATTCAATTATCCAAAAACCAATTTGCATTTTTTATTACATCCATATTTTTTGTGTAGCATTCTGTAAACTACACTTCCCACTTTGTTCCCTTGAAGCCTGATTGCTTCATTCTTTCCCCTCCCCTTCCTTGTCCTATGTCCTCTGTTTGCTCCATTTCCAGCTCCCTCATCTCTCCTGTAATTGGATTGTGTGCCATTTTTTCTTCCTTTTTAGAAAGATAACTACAAAATAGAGAAAACAGGAATTACAAATCAATCTTGATTCTTATATCTAGCACTAATAAAGAACTGCTAAAGGAAGATATTGAAACCAATAGCTAAAGTTTTAAATTATCTGTGAATTTTGCTTATTTGTGCAATATCATGGTTAAATTGAGCATCTGCTATAGTTCCAATATTAGCATTCCAATTTATTCAAAGTATATGTATTTCACTATACAATATTATCAAATCTAAGCTTTTAACTGTATTGAGATACGTGCTTAGGGGGGTGCAGTTTCTGATATCTCTGGATGTCATTTGAATGCTGATGATTATTTAAAAATCTTAGGTGGATCAACTCTCCTTTGGTAATGTGGGTTGATCTGAATTTAACATTTTGTACTTCTGAGCGCCAAAAATACACAGCTTCATATGAAATACAAGACAGAAATAGCCATGAAATACTAGTTCCTCCGACTATATGACTTAGTAAGAAGAATCCCAAAGGTGAGATTTGAGTCAATGTAGCATAAACTGTCCAAAATGACAGGCAGTAGAGATGAAAGGAATAGGTATGGCACTTCAAAGAAATATGGTCATATGTCACACTATTCTATATAAATATGAAGCCTATTCACAAAGGGCTTTGGAAATTTCTTGTCTCTCATCAGCCCAGAGCATTGCAATTAATGAGATGTATTTGGCTTTTCGTTAGAGTTAACCCTCAAGATATCACCCAGACATAACTATAAGCCCTAGAGTCATTTGGTGGTGGGGGGAGGGGTATCAGAGAAGAGCTTTGCATGCTGTTGGTTCATGTTTTTATGTGTTTATTTCACATTGACTTTTGTCATGAGCTTTCATGGAGACAACACCATCAATATTTGTAAATTGTAAAAGAACTGGGAGAGAATAGCTTTGGGAGATCATTTTCTTACTGGCCATGATGAAGAAAGCTGTATAGTAGGAAAATTACTGGTAATTTTACTCAGTTGATAAAGTTAATTTGCTGGGTGTCATTCGATTGGTAGAGTTACCAAAATGAGAGTTGAAGAAACCGAAATATGGTTTCAGTTTATGGTGCATTCTTATGTTTCTCACTGAGTCTATTTCTGTCTGGTTACTTCACTGAGTACTCCAACCAGACAAGAGAAGACAACTATGCTAGTGTTTTAGAAATGGACAGAATGGGTGATTTAAGTAGAGCCTGGTTGGATAACAAAATGTTGACCAAAATGACCTCAGAAGCTGCTGTTCCCAGTCTATATCCTAATGACACCTATGTTAAAGACTTTTCTTGTCTAAGAATTTCCCATGGCAATCTGATATTCATTGTCAAATTTCAAACTAGAATATATTATTCAACTTTTCATGAAGGAAAATGTCAAACTTATAAAGTAGAGACACTAGTGGTATAATGAGCCTCTGTATAACCACCACTTAGCTTGAATAATTATAAATCCATGACCAGTATGGTTTCATCTATACCCCTACACACTTTCTCTCTCACCAAAGATTATGTTGAAACAAATCTCAGATATCATATAATTTTATTTATAAATATTTTGGTGTATATCTCTAAAAGATAAAGATTCTTAAAATTAATACAATACCATTGCTCTACATAAAAATCAACAATTCTGCCATAATATCATTATATATTTAGTTTTCAAATTTCTCAATTGTCTCATTGGTATATTTTTCATAGTTTGTTTTAATTAGGATTAGCATAAGGTTCATACATACTAATTGATTGATATGTGTCTTATATTTCTCCTAACCTGTATAGCTACTTCCCTGTCTCTCCTTCTCTATTCTGTCTCCTTCTCTATCTGTTGTTGAAGAAACCTAGGCATTAGTTGTATAGAGTTTTCCACAATCTAGATTTGTTCATCACATTCCCATGTTCTTTCTTTTTCTTCTACACTGATATTTGTGTATTGAGGCTTGGTTGGGATCAGGTTTTTTTTTTTTTTTTTTTTTTTTTTTTTTCCATAACCATTAGGTGGTTCTTCTCTCAGGAGAAATACTCTCTAATTTTCTATTTTTTATGTTAGATACCATTAATGATTATTTGCCAGATAAAATAATTTATTAGGATTGCACAATGGTGCTATTTCATCATATCCTTTTTATTCATTAGCTGATATACTTTATTAAGAGTAATTTACCCTCTTATTCATTTGGTTACTAGGAGATAGAAACCAATACTCTTCTCCTCTTTCTTTACCAGTTTTAATGTACTAGTTTCCTCGCATTCTCTATAGGTGACCAGTATTATTGATATTTACATATTAACTTACAGACTTAAACATACTTGAAGTATTTTAATTTATTAAAATTTATTAAAATTATACCCTTATGCTCAGATTGTCCTATTTTGGCCTATGGGAACCTCTTCAAATTGGCTTTGAGTCCTTTTGACATGACTTAGTAGCCTTTGATAGCTTCTTTGTTTCCTAGTATTATGGGATGTTTCAGGCTTTTGTTGTACGTATTCCGAGGCAGACCTGCATTCAGACATTTCTCCAAAGAACGTCAGTTTCTTTTAGTAGTTAAGAGAGCGTAATATTAGCACCATGGCTGCTCATTGCTACTGGGTTGGTCTTTGTTTCTTGGGCTTTACAGTAGACAGAGCTAGCATATAAACAATATATACTGTGTATATTGTTTAAAGATAAAATCATTATGAGTTCAAACCGAAACTTTCAATTCAAATCCAGGGCTAATAGGTTTTAAGTTTACATCCTCTATTCTACATCTGTTCCTTCTTTTTACCATGCTGACAATCACAGGTCTCAGAGATTTCAATGTACTTATTCATCTGCTTTATTCCACAACACATACACACACACACACACACACACACACACACACACACACACACACACACACACACACACGCTAATCTTAGAGTAAGAATAACAGCACAATAAGCAATATAATTATGGTAAACATTTTAAGGATATTTTGCATCAAAGAACATTTGAATGGCAAGCATTTGTGTGGATCTGTGCTCACAAAGTATATGTTGGTTATAGTCTCCAAAAAAGTTTTTGACATTTTTTTCTGAAGTAAATAGGAGTGAATTCAGTGGTATACATCACTGCAGGCATGAGGAAATGGAGAATAAGGGGTGTCCATTTAATTTTGCTTTAATTGTAAAGCTATTTTGTTTGATTTGCCCGTACTTATTAGAACTTTTTAGCAAGTACTTATTTTCATTATCAAGTTTTTAACATAGAGACAATGTCATCATTATTATATATAATTTATAGAATTAAAAAAATATGTCACTAGTAGTTAAAGTGATTCATGATAGGAAAATGATTACATGGAGTTCCTCAAAGAAAACTTTGCTTCTCAGCTTGCTTCTTAAAATTGTAAAAATACTTTAAATAAATATATAGCCTTTCCATTTAAGGTGGGCATGTTTTCACTTTTCCAAGTATTGTGGAGTTTTGTTTTGTTTTTTTTTTGAGATGGAGTCTCACTCTGTCACCCAGGCTGGAGTGCAGTGGTGTGGTCTCTGCTCACTGCAACCTCTGCCTCCCAGGTTCAAGCGATTCCTCTGCCTCAACCTCCTGAGTACCTGGGACTACAGGCATGCACCACCATGCCTGGTTAATTTTTGTATTTTTAGTAGAGATAGGGTTTCACCATATTGGCCAGGCTAGTCCCGAACTCCTGACCTCGTGATCCACCTGCCTAGGGCTTCCAAAGTGTTGGGATTACAGGTGTGAGCCACCACGCCCAGCCAGCATTGTATTTTTCGTCTTAAGGAATTCCTCATTGAGGAAACATGAAGCAGTAGAAGAAATATGTATATCATTCAAATGTCTTAGAATAAGTTTAGGCCAACTCACAAGCATATTGGAATACCTTTTTTGAAGCAAATGGAATTTAATTTGCCTTTTTTTTAGTTACTGTCTAAAATTATTTGGCTTGTCAATTAGACAGGGTGACCTTGTGGGAAAGGCTAAGAGAGCAGAAAGAGAAGGCTGCTTTCCCTTTCTGTCTATATCTTCTGGGACCCAGTTTTTTTTTCTTTTTCTTTATTTTTTCTTTTTTAATTCTAGGTTCATTAGTTAGTGGTCACTTTTAGATTGTCACCTACCAAATATACTTCTGGAAAACAAGTATTGTGAATTCTACAGAACTTTCATTTCTTCCAGAAATCTTTGAAATTAATGGTTTTA